ATTTATTTTAATTAAAAAAATATATCATGTATGTGATTTTTTTAAATTAAAAAAGATTTAAAAAGATTATTGGTGAAATTTATTTTAATTAAAAATAATATATTTTATAATTTTTTTATTTTTTTTAGTTTAAAAAATCACTGACAAAATATATTTCCGGATTTTTTTCACTATTTTACTACTTTATCATTCAAAATATGAATGTTCATTAGGATTTTTTTCACTATTTTACCACTTTAACTAGTTGTACAAGTCATAAGAATGTATCCAACATGTTTTATAAAAGTTCAAGAAGTTAGTTAACATGTTTTGGATTGTTCAATGACTTATTTGTTCCAAAAATTGTCCAAGAACTTATTTAACATTTTTTGGAATGTCCAAGGACTTATTTAACATATTTTGGAATGTCCAAGGACTTATTTGTTCCAAAAAATTGTTCAATGACTTATTTAACATGTTTTGGAATGTCCAAGAATTTATTTGTTCCAAAAAAAAAGTCCAAGGACTTGATCATTCGAAACAAGAAAGTCCATTGGTTTTTATTGTATTTTTCCCTTGAAACAACTTATGTTTTTTTATAAAAGTATTTATCAATTTATTATAAGTTAGAATGGTTTAACTTCGTAAAAAACTCTTTATTACCGGTTTGACACCGGTGTAAGTTGTTTATCCAAACACTCAAAAATGCTTATTACCGGTGTCACACAGGAATAAGTCAATAAGTTGTTTTTATAAGTAATCTCAAACACCCCCTAAGTTAGCTCAGATTATATATACAGAGGTGAAAATTTGATGCTATGGATTTTGATGGTCTATTGTTGCTTTCTCTTTACTTCTTGTTATTGTTCGTTATTTGTCTCTCATAATTTATTGTAGCTTTTACGTAACACGTTGTCGATGTCGGGTAACCATCCAGCTCAATCTCTTTTCAAAAATTGACGTTATCTTTTTGTAGTTCTAGTCATTCTTCTTTGTGGGTTTTCGAATGTTATGTATTCATCTTTGAGAGAGGTATTAGAAATGTTATGTGTAACCATAATTTTGGGAGTAGATATGTAGTTGCAGCAGTTGCGAAATCAAAATAGAAACTATAATTGTCTGGTGTTACTTTCAAATTTTAAGTGATGAAAACCAGAGTTTTTGTAAACCAGATGCATAACTTTTGTAATTTACTATAAAACTATAACTTTTGTAATCAATCTTTATTAACCATAAGAGTGATGTTTGATTGGTTTGAGCTTGGCTCCAAAGGTCAAAAGACCTCCAGGCTCAAATCCAAGGAGAAATGAAAATTCTCTTGTGGTCATGGAAACTCAAATAACAGGTTGGATATCCAGGTTAATAAAAAAAATTCAATATTTATTTGTATGGTTTGAAATTAGGGGTGTTGTTAAGTCAATTATGTTGATTTGCGGAAAAAAACAATTTTCAAATGAAATCGATTTTAACCTTTACATATAAATATATGCTTTTTCACTGCTGGAAACCGACTTGACGTTTGTTTTTTTCACTGCAAGAAATCAGCTTCCGACTTGTTTGTTCGGTGTCTTTGTTATTAGGTTTTTTAGTTGTTGCTTTCGATTTTAGTCTCCTCGTTGGTTGTTGTCTTCTTTTGCTTTTTTTTTCCCTCGTTTTTGTTCCCCTTTTGGCTGGTCTTTTTGCATCTTGTTGAAACTGTATACATCGCCTCCTGGTCTTCTGTGTGCTTGTGTTTTTGCTTTATTTCATTTGCTTTGCCTTTCAAAAATACTGATACAAAATGAAAAGTCAAATATTCACATCATTAACATGATATGATACAAGTGGATTAACATCCGACTGTTAGAAGTTTGATAAGTTCAACGCTTAGATCTTAGTCACCATCAGATCCATAGCTTAATGAAAATGTGAGATTATATTTTAGATTTGATTATTCTCTATCTGAATGGAAGAATCCGATTAACCTATCTTCATGGTCACTCCATCTTGATCTCGAAAAAGCCACATTTTATTTCAAGTAATTCAAATCCGATATTTCAACTTCATAATTATTCTATTGTTGGAATCTGATCTATAGTTTATATTTCGTAATATAACTATCTGTGTTGATTCAGTAGCAAAAAGTCTTGAACATAATCGAAGACTAGTTGAAATGAGGTCAAGATCGTCACCAAAATGGATTGCTTCGTCATCTAGCCAAAATAAGATCAATACAAGATAAAGTCAAATAGCATCATGACAAATAATACTACTAGCAAGCCGGATTTTGGAGTGCAAACTTGTCCAACAAGTTTGACTCACAAACTCTATCAATACTCATCTTAGTATGAGAATATGCTTAGTTAAAGTAGATCCTAAAATATTGTTTTAATAGTATCATACCTTCTTTGTCGTTCCCTCTGCATACAAAAGGATGTATTGAGTTAACAAGTGTCTACATCAACCCCAAATGTTGAAATAAAGAGTATAAATATACATGGATCAACAACTCAGATAAAGACACGCATTAAAGTTGACAAGCAGCATTTAATGCAATGGCAGCTATAAAAGATCATTATTATCATACGTTGCAACCCATCCGTTTTGAAAGAATTTCTAAATGATATTTTCTTAGTCAAAATCGACGTCGCTATCTAAAAAACTATCTAAGTCCTTCAGATCTAAAAGGATATCATATTTTCTCACTCCTTCGACTATTAGTAAATTTGTCACCAATCAAATTGTTTAGAATCACAGGTTATAACTTGCTAACTTTCATAACAAATCTATAATTCTTTATTTTAATACAAAATATAGAATTAAAAATAAATTTTTATTACATTTATAATAAATCCCTTTTATTATATATTTATATCTAAGTTACTAGTTGTGTACCCGGGTAATAGAGCGGGATGTCAAATTTTCTAATAAACATACAACTAAAATGAGTGCAACTATTCATTAAAAATTACAAAATTTATATTTAAACATTCGATCTTACAGGGGGAACCTTAGAAATATTTAAACCTTGGTTCCTTATAGTTGAGAGTACTCGTGCGATGCAACAAGATGTAATCAAGTACAATGTAACAAATAAAGAATCAAGGTAAATTTTATTGTACACACACATGAAAATCAATTATGTTGTCCAAATAATTAGAATGAAAGAAGAAACAGATATCTAGTGAATTTATTTAAATAATTAATAAATTATCTTATACAAACCAAAATAGAAACCAATATCCACCTTTTTACAAAGGAGAGCTAAAATTAGCTAAAATAAAAGTTTGAATGAATAAATAATGGCGTCAAGACAACAAAGAAAAAAAGCTTTTAATAAGGAAGGAAAAAAATTGGAAAGAAATAAAGCAAAGTTGTAAGTTTCAACGTGGATGTTATTAGGGGTGCTCATGGGTTGGGTTGATCGAGTTGAACACATTTGAACAACCCAACCCAATGCTTACGATTTGGTAAAATCTTAACCCAACCCAACCCGTACGGGTTGGTCGGGTTGATACTTTAGTATATTAAAATATTCTTCTAATTTTGAATATGTTATTTCTCTGCTCATAATTTTTTTTTCATCATCATCCATATTTTTCTTACATATATCACATTCAGTTAATTTTCTCAATTTACATATATATGTTCACAGTTATTGAATATATATATATAAATGAGTTATACAGATATATGAATAAATTGAAAATATGTGTATATGAAAAGCATACATGGTATGATGGTAGTGTAATTGTCTAATGTATATATTAATAGAAATTCAACAAGCATATTAGATCCAAGAAATAAAAGGATATCGGGTTCATCGGGTTGGATTGAGTTCAAATAATAGTAACCCAATACCTACGGTTTGAAAAATTTTACAACTCGATTAGACATTGGGTTGCTTCGTATTGGGTTGGGTTGGTCGGGTTTTTGAACACCCCTAGATGTTGTTGGTAGTATGCATCAACAATTGTACCTTACGCATGTAAAATCGTAATTAAGAGATTTTTGAAATTTATGCATAAAAGAATAGTACTTTGAACTTTATAGATTACATTTAAGACTTTTTGTCTAAATGCTTATTAATATAGTATAGATAAAATCGTTTATTCTTCATTGGTTTGGAAGAATTTCTGAAAAGTGGTTTCTAATCTCAGTATTTAAATTTTCATTTTGTTTTTTTATTTTATAAAAAAAGAAAATCAAGAAAATGGGACGTTGACTACTATTGAAGGGTCAAAGTCAGAGCATGCCACAAATAAAATACAAAATGATGATGGTGGAATCTTTTTTAATAATTATCCACCCGCGCAAACCAGCAGCCTCTTGTTCCATTAAAACCCCTATTCTACGTGGCGATTTCTGATTGGATGCCACAACTCTGCTCATCTCACCGACCGTCGTCAACCACATTTGTTACGAATTTTGTAAAACAACCTTTGTACAGCACAATTTGTATTTAAATAAAACTAAGCGTAAATTACGTTTTTAGTCCCTGTAGTTGTTAAAAAAAACTTATTTTCGTTCTTATAGTTTTGAAATTATAATTCTCGTCCCTATTATTTATAATTCTTTACAATTTTCGTCCTTATGATTCGTTGTTCCTTTGCTTTATAGCGAGCCACACACATCAACTTCTAATCCTTTCCCCCAACTTCCATGGTCATAGTTGTACCACTCACCCTCGTCTCTATCGTTTAAGCAACCCTCTCAACCCTGTCTTTGTCGTTGAAGCAACCTCTCACAGTCAAAGCAAAACCACCCCATTTGAGAAGAACCTATAGGGCCCTCAATCGTCGATAACCCACCATTGACCTCCATCGGCCTCCCCCATTGCATTACTCTCCCCTGGCCATCACTTCCCTCCATATAAATCTAAGACCCGTATCCACTAACCCCCTCCCCTTACACCATCATGAACCTCCACTTCTCTCTTCTTCCTTGTTGCAACCTTCGATCGACCACCATCATCAGCCCCCCTTTTTTCCTCACTCTCCAACCACCACCTTATTCCCATTTACACACCTTCACAATATCTCGAATTTTTGTGTCGTAGATCAAAACAAAATAGGGTTTCGAATTGGTGTTCATATTAAGAAGTGGCATTTTTGTATTGAGTCAGTGTTCATCCTCTTTAGAGCTTGATTGTGACCTACTTAATTCGAAGCAACAATCAGTTCACAACACTTTGGGGGAAAAGAGGAAGACGACAACCACCAAACCAATTCACAATATGAAGCAACAAAATAGGTTTTTTCCTCACTTATTGGTTATTATATCAAAACCGGTAGCCACCATGGGGGTAGAGAGATCATCGCTTAACGGCTAGAAAAGTGGGAGTGGATTATGGGGAAGAAAAAGAGGGGCTTAGAGCTACGGTCCATTTGTTTTTGTTTTGTTTTTTTTAAAGAAGATGAGAGGAACATAGAAAAAGACCAAAGTGCCATCACTTAGCGCTTGGAGTTCAACTTCCCTATAGTACGAGGGATCAAAACCAAACATAAATGCATACCAAATGAGTCTTTTTGCAATAGAAAAAACTATAGGGACCTAATCCAAGATAGTTGGTAAAGTGTAAGGACCAAAATTGCAATTTACTCAACCTAATGTTGCTTTTATTTCTATTTTTAGGAATTTGTAGATTTCTCAATTTAAGAATTGATTTAAAGATATCTTAAAATTTAAAAAATTATATCGATATTAGTATGGAATTAAATATTTAAAAAGTTATTAATAACGAAACAATTTATTCTTGATTTAATAATATAATTTTTTATAACTATAATAATTAAGTATTCTGTTAGAATACAGTGATTATTCTAATTATATTTTAGATTTTCTATATTTAAAATGAAATATTTATCCAGTATTTGATCATGTTTATATGCAGTTTACACGAATTCAAGCATGAAACATTAATAAGTTATACTTATGCCTTATTTATTTGTAATCTTAAATTTTAAATAATATACATCAATAAACAATACTTTATGTATAAAAAAAATGATTTTTAAGAGTTTCTGTCAATTGTTTTTTAATCAATTTCAAATAAATATGACTGATTAACTTAATTATGTACAAAAGTTAAAATCGAGAATAACTGAAAGCAAAATCTAAAGATTGAAAATATTCTATCCCAATTCATTTTCTCGAAAATGCGTAACCTTTTTGGATTGCAAAACATCAAATAGATTCAGCCGACAAACTAAGCAAATCAGAATTTTAATAACCCCATGAATTTGAACCCCACAAACAGCATATTTGAAACAAAAAGTTATGTAAATGATTACATAATGATAATAACGTGAATTATCTGATAACGGAGAAATAATCGTTGAATCAAATTATGTATCAAATTAAATGTTGTAGTTTTTAGGGTGTGTTTGGTATGCAGACTGGATGGAATGGGAATAGACAAAAATAAATAGTCTCATGTTTGGTGTGTCATGGGACAACATGAGACAAAAGTAAGATTGGGTGAGATTATTCTTAAAACTTTTTTGTTCCATCAAAAAAGGTTATTCAACATAGGACTAAATTTGAGATTACAATATTGCCCTTATTATTTGATATTAAAATACAAACCTAATTTAATTGCATTTTTTTTCCTTCTCTTCCACAACCTCCATTATCGATTCTTGAAATGTTAAACTTTTGACGATTGCGTGACACATATTATTTACAATTGTTATGTTTAAACTTTTTAAATCATGTGTGTATTTTAAATTCATGGTATGACAAATGTTATTTACATGTGGTATTGGAATGTTAAAAAAACATTGATATCATAGATTAAATAGTGTAAATATATTTTTGGTTGATTTGTTGTCATTTACAATCATTATATGATATAAAATAACATTGAACAACATTTAGAGGTAATATGATCATTTTAACAGCATTGTCCCGTCCTGTCTTATTCTGTTTCATCCAGTCTGCATACCAAACACTGCCTTAAAGACCGTAGTAGTCACTATTTATTTATACGAAACATATTAAAACCATATTAAACTTTTACTTGGTTAACAGGTACTGAGCAAGATACGTTTACTAACAATCTATGTTAATAGCAGATAATGTTATCTGATAAAACCCTTGTCAATAACTGTTTACCTGATAAACATTTGATAAACGACTCTTAATTATATATATATATATATGTGTATTTTTAATTTTTCTACAATTTACCATTTTTATTTAAAAAAAAGCGTGTTTTGAGGCTTTGATTTATGGGTGACATAGGAGAGCCATCACCCACGCACCTTCGACTCTTTACACCCATCCTTTCGTAGTTGTTACTTCCTCGATCTTCCTCCATTCTGCTACTTGTCTATAAAACCAGCCACCAATTTGGGCTATTCTCGATTCAACTTCATTACTTCAATTTCCCCTTTTCGAAGATAACCCAATTCCAGATTAATGGCTTCCATCAACATGTCTTCTCCATCCACATCTCTGCTACCCTCAAAGTAAGGTTTTTGTTTCTTTTTTCTATATTGTTGTTGTTTTCTTCGTTTTTTTTTTACATCGATTAATGTGTGTTTATGTTGAAACTGATTGGGGATTTGTTTTCTGGATGTTAGTTTATGTGCAAGCTATTGGGTTTGTTCGAATTCATGTCGATTTGAGAAATTGCTGCTCGATTCAGACCACTCGATCTTTCTTTGTAGTTTTTAGCGCCAAAGAACCCGATTATTGTTATTGTTGTTTCACGTTAGGAAACATCGTGTAGTGAATTTTATTGTACAATCTTCATTTTCGTCCTTTGCATTTCGTAATCATATTGTCCGAATTTATGTTGATTTGAGAACCTCGTATTGGGTGTTCTCTAGGGATGATAGTAGTTGAGCTCGACTTCATTTTTCAATCAACATCGACTTTTAATTCGAAAGATCTTCTTATAACTTGAATTTGCAATGATGGTCGCCATTCTCGTTATGAATTTGAAGAATTCAAACGGTTTGTCATTTCACCCTAAAAACAACAATTTCATTTGTGGGAAATGCCTCAAATTGCAAAAATACCTCATTTATGCTCGTTAGTATCGTTCGTAGTAATTATTTTGGTCCATCGGATTCCTTTATTCTATGGGTAGTTAACAATCAAACACTTCTACTAAACTACGTGTTCAGTTCGATATCATCAGAGCATGTGGTATTGATGCCGGCTGTCAATCTTTTGCCTTTCTTTTTCCTTTTTTGGAAGGGTATCTATGCTATGCCCAGACTAATCCTGGCAAATTGCGACCATAAGACATCAACCCTGGTAAAGTTGGTGGCCACGACATGGTGGACGCCTGGAATCAATTCCGAGGCAGATGGAATATTCCACCACATTCCCCTGGGCCTCAACCACTATGCCACAAACCTTGTGGTTAATCTTTTGCATGCTCATGTGTTGGAAATTTTCTTGCCTTTGGTTACTTTGTTTTTGATGGTGTAAGATAGAATCACAAAAACGAGGGGCTAAAAGTCTTTTTCTTCGATTTCTATCATCTGGGAAGTTACTACTTTCTCTCATACATCGTTTTCTAAATGGACTATCTATGGTTACTATGATGCAGGATGATCACAAACTTCAGCTCATATAACGGTCTTCGCTTTGTAAATCTTTCTTCATTCAATGGGCAAACAACAGAAGCATTTCTCCAGCTCCGATGCTCCAAAAGTAAAGGTGATGGCAAGTTAAGAGCTTCACTATTGCCTATAGATGGTGTCGATGGTGGTTTTCCTGTGAATCACACAAGTACTAATGGTGTGGAAAAAAATGGTGTTAGTATGTCATCTGGGATTGTGATACAGCCTGATTCGATTGCTTTGGGGACACTATCAGCCGAAACCACTCCTAGCATGAATGGTTTCGTCACTGGTGCTGATGAATATGATTTGGATCAGCCAACCTCAGGCTTCTCATCCATTCCTGAGGCAATTGAAGATATACGCCAGGGCAAGGTTTGTACTCTTTTCATTTCTTATCTTTTCTCCTTTAGATTTTAAAAATCCGAAATAAAACCTATAAACACTTCCAATTTCCCATCCTGTGATGAGAATTTCATATTGGGAATGTGATACAACTTTAAAACCTATATGATACAATTCCTTTATGCAAAATTAAAAGGGGGGGGGGGTGCTTGGTTGGGGGTATTAGGGGTGAGGAATGGCAATGGGAAGGAAGAATGATGTTTTGAGAATAATCTGGTTGAAATGAAGCGTAATGATCATACATCTGTAATGCATTGTCTGTCCCATCATGGGTCCTATTCTTCTAGCCTTTCCCCTAAGTCGATGACTATTCTTATACTACTTCCATTTCCATTCCCTTACACGAAGCGCCCTCTAAATACACTGTTTGACTGGGCATATATTTTAGTGGAAGTGTTTCATTATTAGTAAAATGTCTAAATAACCCACAATTACAACAAACTAGTGGGCATCTTGTGGATCAAAATCACTGCTATCAATACTTTGCAATGGTTGCCGACAGGTAAATAGGTAACTTTGGATTAAAACTTTGTCAAAAGGGATTGTTCCATTTTGGGGCATATTTGAGGGCTTTATGTAGATACAGGAATGAAGTACAAGAGAAGGGCGTGTGCTCCTAAATTAGAAAAACTCGAACCATAAAACACAAGAAATATAGGTAACATGCCAAGAGAAAAAAGTAAGTTTAGAACGTGTCCCCACTATAAGGGATCAAGAGAAAATGTAGGTTCACGGAAAGATGCAAGTAAAACCACAAACAATTCGTAACCAGAAGGAAATTTTTGCATTTATGTTGGGAAGGAGGAAGTATATCTTTATGTATCATGATCTAAGCGGAGTGTACCTTATCCATTTGACTTTTCAAGAGAATCTAGGGTACCGTTTGATTTTATAACTAATTCTGATGTATATTGCAGATGGTAGTGGTTGTTGATGATGAAGACAGAGAAAATGAAGGAGATCTAATAATGGCAGCATCTTGTGTCACGCCGGAAGCTATGGCTTTTATTGTTAAACATGGAACTGGGATTGTATGCGTAAGCATGAAAGGTGAAGACTTGGATAGGTTGGAACTTCCTCTAATGGTAACTCATAAAGATAATGAGGAGAAGCTCACTACAGCATTCACAGTATCAGTGGTATGCACTATTTTTGCTATACTTGACATTTTCACTAGAAATAGACAAAAAGTATATACTTGACATATCATTTTAGAAGAAACTTTTTCAACACAACTTAAACGATGGTAATTTCTATACTATATATAAAGCATTTTGATAAAAGTCTTGAAAACAACTTAATCAAGTATTATTGCTTAGTAATGCTTAATCCCCTAACCACAAGGGTGGTGCCTGATTGGTTTGAGCTTGGCTCCAAAGGTCAAAAGTACCTGGAGGTCCCAGGTTCAAATCCAAAGAGGAATAAAAATCCCCTTGTGGCCACGGAGGTTCAAAGCAGGTGGTTGCCCTGGGATTAGTCGGTTCGCATAGCGGGTTGGATATCCAGGTTAATTAAAAAAAATGCTTAATCCCTTAAATTTCAAGTTTACAAGTAATCACCGTATACATACAAAATTTTAAAGCTTTTTGAATTCCATAAAGCTAACTAATAAACACGTTCAAATACGAGATACTGATTGAGGCCTACGATTACAGAAGAATATACTACCTGTCTACCTCATTATCTTTAGTAACAAAAAAACTCTTATCATTAAAACTAAAATAAATTACATCTTTATATAAAGTTTTTAAATTGTAATAAATTTTTGAATGAAGCTAATTATAGTAAAAAATGAGAATTTTATAATCTTTAATTTGACACCAATATCAGTATATGTACATTTTTTGGGGGTTTTTGGTTTTCAAATTAGCAAAACATATTCAACTACCACTTGTGATTTCAATTTTGTTAGGACATAAATTTCAGATTTTATGTTCTAATGAGTGATTTCATTAATTATCCGTTCTCGATTTACAATAAAATCTTGCATCCCTTTGCATCTCATGCGTACACAACTAGTATAATGATATATCCATGATCACATATTGATTTGTAGGATGCAAAACATGGTACAACAACCGGGGTGTCAGCATGTGATAGAGCGACAACCATAAAAGCTCTAGCTTCAAAAGATTCCACACCTGGAGATTTCAACCGGCCAGGCCATATATTTCCATTGAAATACAGGGAGGGGGGTGTTTTGAAAAGAGCTGGTCATACTGAAGCTTCTGTCGATCTAGCGATGTTAGCTGGATTTGACCCTGTAGCTGTTCTATGCGAGATTGTGGATGACGATGGCTCCATGGCTAGATTGCCAAAGCTTAGAGAATTTGTCCAAAGGGAGAACCTCAAGATTATATCTATTGCTGATTTAATCAGGTAGATGACAATCTTTTCGCTCTTGTACTGGGAATGTATAAAAAGAAAGGATTTTTCATGAAATGGGTTTAAATTTGCAGGTATAGAAGGAAGACGGATAAACTAGTCGAACGTGCTTCCGCTGCACGTATACCTACGACATGGGGGCCATTTGTTGCCTACTGTTATAGATCGATCTTAGATGGAATTGAACACATTGCAATGGTCAAGGTGAGGAAATTTTTATAGAAGTTTGTTGCGTTTTGATGCATTTTGCCTTTTAATTTAATACTCCATCCATCTACAAAAGTTGCAACAATTTTAATTCTGAGATGGCCCATGAACATCTTATTGTTTCTCTTTTTAGTTTTGTCATGGTGGTCATTACAATTTATTGATTATGGGATCTTAAATTTTACCATCTTCAAATAAACTGATAAAAGATTGTAACTTAAAACAGGGTGATATTGGGGACGGGAAGGATACTCTTGTGAGGGTACACTCGGAATGCWTAACMGGAGAYATWTTCGGGTCKGCYMGATGYGATTGYGGGAACCAGYTKGCMYTWGCAATGCAACAAATYGAAGAKGCKGGCMGGGGSGTKTTGGTGTAYCTCAGAGGTCAYGAGGGMMGRGGCATYGGGTTAGGTCACAAGCTCCGTGCTTATAACCTGCAAGATGATGGCCGTGATACTGTGGAAGCCAACGAGGAGCTTGGTTTGCCTGTTGATTCCAGGGAGTACGGCATTGGTGCACAGGTAATTTATATTCTCCATGTTAGAACAAATGAATTTGCTTACAGCTTTAAACATATATGGCTATGTGGGTTCGTTACAGCATTTAGGTATTAAAAATTTCGGATAATTTTAAGGGCAAAGATTTGCTGAAAGGCTCATCACTTTCTTTTTCCATTAACTCCTGTAAGGGTTAAGTTGTCTGTCCGGATAAAATTTTCTGTACGAGGGACGGGAGACTGATGGTTTGAGGTGGGGACAAGTGAGGGGTCCAGGTGTATTCTAAATAGCCATGGCTTAATGGCTTAATGATTATGCCATAAAGAAAACTCTTATATGGCTGAGCGAATAAGCCACCTAGACCATTAAGCTCATTAAGCTGTAAGTGAACAACCCATAGGATTATCTACCTTCGCTTACCAGGTCAGCATCATGGACCAGTAAGAGGGGTGGTAAACAACAACAGCTCTGATCGGGTAAGCACCTAGGTAAGCAGGTAGTAAATAACCTCTAAATATTAGAACATTTGGCTTAATGCCTGGTCTAATGAAGGTTTTTGACTATTCAAAAGTGTCTTCTATGAGGGTAGATATGTAATTTTAGCTTCAACGGCATGGAACCACTTGATTTTGTCCACTTTTAATGTATGGTATCAATTGCATTACAACACTGATTTGAATGCCAACAACTAAAAGCTAACAGTATCTTCTCTTTTAGAACAGTAGTCAAATGTCAAACATACCCTTTTAAGCCAAACTAAGTGGAATCTTGCATAGTTAATCCCAATTGTAATTTACAACAAAAACAATGAACCAAAAAAAATGTAACTTTAGCAGGAAGCTTCTCCAAAAATGGAGATGTTTGCAATTTCTTTTTCGGGGGGTAACAGTGGGAATCTGGGCCAACTTACAGCACCAACTATCCCTCCAAGCCTTAACCTGTGTGCCACAACCCCCAAGTGGTCAATTGTCGTAAAATTTTGATATAACACGAGTAGCGTAGCATGTTGAAATCCCAAATTCTTATTCTTTAATCATTTTGTTTCAATGGTGTGCAGATTTTGAGAGATTTGGGAGTTAGAACAATGAAGCTGATGACAAACAACCCAGCTAAGTACAGTGGGCTGAAGGGATATGGTTTGGAAGTTGCAGGAAGAGTTCCCCTTCTGACCCCCATTACGAAACACAACAAGCGATATCTCGAGACCAAACGAGCCAAAATGGGTCACGTTTATGGGAACAACAACGGTCTCCCAAACCTCATCACTCAAAACGAAAAATCAACCACTCAGAACCCAAGTGTTTAAAGCTGAGGTTCTCTGTTTTGACTCACATCCTTACTTACCCAGATCAAGAAACTCGTATAACCGGAACTCGTATAGTTAAAGATATTGAAAACCGGGAAAACTCCATTCTTTTAAGTCAATTCTTACATTAACTTGATACACGTTACTCGATGGGAAAAATGTTGCAGGTTTTGTTTATGTTGCAAGTTTTGTTTTATGTATGGCATTAACTTCAACAAAGATGAAACAGTGTTCCAAATATGTTCATGTTCTAGGGATGTTGTTTTAATTTTTCAGTAGCAATATACTTCATGGGGTTTTTTTTTGATTAACCTGGATATCCAATCCGCTATGCGAGCTGACTAATCCACTGACGACCACCTGCTTTGCAGATAGCCTGGAGTCACCACATTTGAACCTCCGTGGCCACAAGAGGATTTTTGTTTCTCTTTGGATTTGAACCTGGGACCTCCCGGTAGCCAAACTCAAACCAATCAGGCACTACCCTTGTGGTTCTTCAGAGGATTTTTCCCAACTTCGGCATATAAAAACCTCTATCCGGTAAATGAACATTGTTTGTTTGTTTAGTGTTAAACCAACGATATAAAATAACACTGTTTCTTCTTAGATACATGGCTGATGTGACGAGTCGGCCAATAAGTTTAGTGAGTTCATGGTTTTTGTGTTAAAACTTGAATACGAATCATGCTAAAGAAATAAGAGTTATGACCCACAGGCCACAACCGAAGGTACTGAAATTTGTTTATGGGACATTGTTTCCATGCATAAAACAATATATGACCCGAACTCGGTCCGTTGTCATTCTTAGTTTTTAAAATCACCAATGTGATGGTCAATTTTTAGCTCACTCATCTACTAAAACTAATAAGTGGGTTTAGATCAAACCCCTTGTATTTAAATAAAAGGTTGTTTGTTTACCTCTTCATAGTTCCATTAAGAGGCCGCCTCTGAATCGTTAAGAGGTGAATCTTGTTTGGCGAAAAAAAAGTCTGTCTCTTAATGGTTCTAAAACCCTCTTAATGATTTTGTATCATGTGCCCCTCTTAACAATTCAGCGCCCTAATTTCGTTGTAATTAATTACCAAATAATTATATTTCATTTTGCACTATATCATGAGGGCCTCTTAATTATTCCGACCACTTAATCATTTTACATCAAATCATTCAGCAACTGCTAAACAACCCCAAATAATATACCCAAGCTTTTAGAGGTTCTATTTTTCAAATTAAATCATACCAAGTAAATAAAAACCTTACGGTTCTCTCACTATTAAGAGCGAGGCCCATTGCTACACTCACGACCGTTGATTTGTTTCACTTTCTACTACAATCCAACGGTCCAGATGAAATGAAAACGGGCGTCCACGGCTCATATGCTACCCTCCAACACTCTGTATATAAACCCTCGCTGCACTTCATTCTTCTCATTCAAGCGGGAGTCAACTTTTCTCTACAATGGCTTCCATCAGTGTCACCATGTTATCAATTGCATTGCTCATTGGATCCGCAATGGCGTCAATATCTCCGGCCACGGCACCGTCAACTCTTCGTACAGCTCCAAGGCCGTCTCTGTCATCTGTCTCTCCGTCGCCGTGGCTATCGGTGGCTGAGACACCTGTCTCACTAGCTATTCCTTCGAGCATTGTCGTTCCGCCATCGTCTCAACCCATCAGCTCTCCTCCTTCACCGCCTACTAAACCAGCTACTCTGCCTACGGCTGACGGTTTCGCGCCTGCTCCTGCGCCTAACGACGCCATTTTGAACGAAGTAACTATTGGGTTCTTAGCCGTTGGGTTTTTAGCAGTGGCTTTATCAGTGTAGGTTTTCTATGACTATTGGTAACACCACTTAATTAGTAAATATACATCTATGCTTGTGTTGTCTTGATGGAACCTTTTTCGTATTATCTGATGTATGAGATCGTTCTCAGTTCTTTTGGTTTTGATATCCACGATTTGAAATGAAGATAACACAGTGACAGTGGCAATCAAATAAAAATCGATTCATCGTCATAGTCAAATAGCTTCGATTGCAAGAAATTTGGGGTTTCTAGTAAATTGAGCGCAGTGAATAATTCATATGACTTAAATGGTTGGTATATCAACTCTAAACACTTCCCATCATCTTCACAATTCTAATTTCTTGCATAACACAAGGATCAACATTTCCCTACTCCTAAGTCTGTAAGCATGTGCTAACCCTTTCAATCTTAGCATCTCTTTGGTAAGTGATGTGCAATAAGGATCAAGGAAATAACCCTTTCAATCTCAGCATCTGATTGGTCGGTGATGTGCAATAAGGATCAAGGAAATCAGGATCAGCTTTTCTTCTATATTAGTCTTTAGGGTTTTTCTGTTATGCCTATTTTTTAATGATCATTACTCATTATGTAGTATTGAATTGGGTCTGATTCCCAAGTAATAGATCTATTCATTCAAACATTTACACATCTTTTGGTGTAGGAAGCTGCTTTAATATGCCAAAACATTTCATATGGGAAAGTTACAACAAATGTAAGGATGACTATAATTTGAGAAGTTAAAAGCAGTTAGGAGGTGAAGGCTAAAAGGTCCTCATCTTGTTCTAACAGATACATGTCTTTCTCATTCAAACTCACCCATGCTTCAATCCCATCGCCATGTTTGTCATCCATTAATGTGACGATTTCTATTGAACTGCCAGTACCACTTGCCCAGTAGGGCTTGCCCCAACCAAAATCAGCTTCATATATAGGGAACCGACACCAACTTGTAAAAATGGCAAACTTATCTTGCTTTACTTCTTCAACAGCCTCGGCATAACATGCAATTGCCTGTGTGCATATCTCTTCACTACTCGCTTTTGGAAGCCACGTGATAAAGTTTCTTGTTGTGTCTTCTATCAGGTTCACAAGATCGACAAACTCGGGTTCCATTTTATTTTGCAAAAAGCGGATTGGATAAGGAGTCCATACATTCCCGAACGAACTTTCTGATATTGCTGAGTTCGCTTTTCCCCTTAAATTTATCGCAGGTGCCAACAAGCAATCCCTGAAGCTCCCACTTTTGACATGATCAATAGATATAAGGGCCTTCCATATTAATGAAGCCACCAATGTTACGCGACTATGCTTACGATTTGGGGAACTGGCTTTTGCTCTTAGCTTTGATATAGTATACCCATTAAATACAAACCTTTTTGTGACAATTATGGCTTCAGGATCATTTGGAATCAGTGAGTACTTGGATGATGAAATTTCCCTTGCTGGGAAGAGAGAGGCCATGTTATCAATACAAGGGCAAAAGGCACCACTGCTTTCCCCTGTGCGGTTCATGCTAGCCCATTCATTAATGAACCTTACTAGGTTGCTTGTATCGGTGACTTTGTGTGCGGCACTAACACCAATAACAAGTGCACCACAATCAAAGACGTTGACCTGGATTACCAACGTGGTTGTGACTTGATCTGGTGCACCTATGAGTTGATTAACGAGGTCGATCTTGGGACCTTGTTCAAGAAAATCGTCCAGTCTTGTACTCACTTGAGTCTCCAAATACTTGATCCCTTGATCACTACAATCAACTATGAGCCCATCTTCTGTGATCCTGCCAGCTAATGGGTAAAATAAGGTTAGCACCTCGGATAAAGACTTGACCAGCTGAGTGCATCTATCGGAAATGTTAATCTCACCACTGGCCTTATAGTAGAAGATTAAATTTATATACGAAGAAGCCAGCTGATCAAGCAATGATAACCTGAAATTGCGTAGATTTTCTGGAGTTGGCTTTGATGGTTTTATGGATTGTATGGATCGAATTTTAATCTCCATGCTGTAGGGTGGTTAAGATCTCTTTGTATTCAATGAAGAAGTGATCGATGAATTGTAATATCAATTCTTGAAGAGCCAATTCTAATGGGGGATGCAGGGAAATGCTATGCCAAATAAAAGGAACTGCTAATTGACCACAATGCCTTCGGTTTCAACGGAGTGCATAGTTGTATTACAGACTTTTAAATATACTTGAACTTTCCTCAAGTATATTCCTATAGGATTAACAAGTTGGCCATTTTTTAATGAGAATTTTCCAAAGGAAAAAGCCTGTGTAGAGAAAGACATGTATGTCAATGCCATTCGAGGCCGCCTGCATTATTCTAAAGATTCATAACAAGTCTCCCTGTTAATTTGTTATTATTATTATTATTATTATCTTTCCACCAATCACAAACGTTTTTGTGTTGGTCTTGACTTGATCTTCGATGTTGACAGCACAAAATGTCTCGATGAAAAGCCAACTTTTCAACAGGGGGAACATGACATTCATCCACTGATGACTCTGCTGGCTAGATGGTAATCTACTTCTCCTAGTAACTTGTCCAATCTGCTGGCTAGTTGGTAGATCAAGGATAACGACTTCCCAGGTGAGCCACATATTCATCGCCGTCATTAGCTGGTTGTATATAATCTTCTATATATTAAACGAAGAACCAAAAGTATTGAGGTGGCATCATGAGAATTGAGTATTGAGGTGTTGGTGAATTGTGGTTGAGTTTGAGATATCCCACATTGGTGACGAGTTGAAAATTTTGAACAAAACGAAATGTATAAGAAAGGTGGATTGGATACCTTTGTGTCAAATATGAGGTTTGCCTCGTAGGGTTGTCTTTTTTTGGATAACCTTTTTGAAATATATAATCATGGTTGAAAACCAATCAAATCAAATGGTAGAAATTATAGTGCAAAATTAATTATATTATATTATTATGTCTTTATATATATATATATATATATATATATATATATATATATAAGATCATGTGAGACCAATGGTTTTTCGTGAGACCCGTAAGACCAATTCTCAACCCTTGGATTAGATCTATAATCTGACAATCTAAACATTTATAAACACCACGAGATTTCTTAATAATTACCAAATTGCCACCGTACAATTTAGACCGTTAGATCATTAACTTATAAAGTTGATCAATGAACATAAATTGGTCTTATGGGTCTCACGAAAAACCTTTGGTCTCACGTGAACCCAACCCTATATATATATATATATATAGACTTGGGATCACGTGAGACCAACCTGTTTTTGTGAGACCCGTAAGACCAACTTTTTACACTTGAAACTTCACAGCAAAATGTTGTGAAGGTAACCTTCACAGTGTTTTTGCTGTGAAGGTTCGACTTTTTAAAATCTTCATAGTGTTTTTACTGTGAAGTTTCAAGTGTAAAAATGTGGTCTCACGGGTCTCACGAAAACAGGCTGGTCTCACGTGAACCCAACCCTATATATATATATTAAAGGAAGAACCAAGGGTATTAAGGTGACATCATGAGAATTGATTATTGAGGTGTTGGTGAATTGTGGTTGAGTTTGAGATATCCCACATTGGTGAAGAGTTGAAAATTTTAAACAAAGTGAAGTGTATAAGAAAAGTGGATTGGATGTCTTTGTGTCAAATATGAGGTTTGCCTCATAGGGTTGTTTTTCTTTGGATGACTCTTTTGAAATCTATAATCATGGTTAGAAACCAATCAAACCAAATGGTAGAAATTATAGTGCAAAATTAATTATATTATATTATTTATCTTTATATATATATATATATATATATATATATATATATATATTAAAGGAAGAACCAAGAGTGTTGAGGTGGCGTCATGAGAATTGAGTATTGAAGGTGTTGGTGAATTATGGTTGAGTTTGAGATATCCAACATTGGTGAAGAGTTGAAAATTTTGAACAAAATGAAGTGTTGGTTTATTTTGGCCAACCTTTTGTTTGCAAAAAAATCACCTTTATAAAAAATCTTTATATATATATATATATATATATATATATATATATATATATATATATATATATATATATATATATATATATGGCTCTCTCTATAAATAAGTAAGATTCACAAAAAATGATGTGTCACCCTAAGAATTGAGTATTATATATTTCTTGCATTGAGGTTGAGTTTGTGTATCCCACATTGATAAAGAGATGAATGATCGATAATTGAAAGTATGTATATAAGAGGAGGTTGATGTATCTTTATTTTGACTCACGGGGTTGGGTTCTTTTGGCTAATCTAATAAACCCATATCACTGGTTCATGTTGGTTAACCCTCTAATTCATGGGGTTTGTTCATTTTAACGAACCCTCTATTTGCAAAAAAATTGTCTATATAAAAAAAATTAATATATCAATACAAAAGAAAACTAGGAAATAATAAGGTGACATTATTAAAACCAAATATTTTAAAATTCTTGCATTGTGGTTGGATTTTGGTATCCACGTTGATTAGAAATTGATACGTCAATGAGAAAAATGAGTATATAAGAGAAATATGAGTTCCCCATGAAAATTAAAAGGTTCATTTGGCTGTATAAGCCATGTCTATCTTTAAATGTTTGGAGCAATTGTCTAAACTCACGTGGTTAGATCATTTTGACTGAACTTCCAAACATATGTGGTTGACTCATTTTTGCCTACCCTATTTTGTGACAAAATTAATCTATACTAAATATTAATTGAAGAGATAATTTTAATATGTTTTTGAAAGTAAAGAAGCAGAACCGTTGATGCGGCACCCTAATAATTGAATATTCTTCAATCTTAAATTGTGATTGAATTTTATATATCCCATACTGATTGAGAGTTGAAAAATTGACAAAAATGTTGGATATGTAAAATGAGGTCCAGATGCCTTTGTGACAACTCATGAGATTGGTTTCTTTTGGTTGGTTCTCTTAACACCTGTGGTTAGAGCATTTTGGCAGACCCTCCGAACACATGGGGTTGGTTCATTTTGGCCAACTCTCTTTTTACACGAAGAGTTAATCAATATTAAAAGTTAATTATATATATAATCTTTATTCTTTCTATATTTAAAAGTAACAACCACAACCATCAATGTGACACCCTAAGATTGAGTATTATTTAATCTTGAATTCTGATTAGTTTTATCTATCCTATATTGATAGGTAGATAAAAGATTTACACTGAATGATAGATATATAAAGCAAGATTGAGATGTCTTTGTGGCAATTCATAGGGCTGACTCCCCTTGAATGATTTTCTAAACTCATGGTGTTTAACTTATTTGGTTGACCCTCCTAACATAGGATTTTTGGCTAATCCTCTTTTTACAAAAAAAATCTATATTAAAAGTTTAATTAATTAATTAATTAAATTAATATATAATGCTATAAGATATTGATGTGACAAATTAGAATTTAATATTTTCAAATCATTAATTGTGGTTGAATTTGACTTGAATCTTAATTCATATTAATGAGATTTTTTTTTCTTCTGAAAAACAGTTAAGTATATGAAACGAGAATGATGCCTTGAAATATTGGAAGGGTTACAAATGCACTATGAAAATTTAGTATTTTCAATTTTGAAGTATATGGATATTGATGTGGTTCACAATTTTTTGTATATTACTTGACATGTGTTATGATCACCGTGCAACGCACGGTGCCGAACACTAGTTATTTTCATCTGATGAGAACGGAGAAAGTTTAGATGAGAACGGAGAACCATCAATATTTTGGGAATCTAGGAACCAACTATCTTCATGTATTATTCATGACCAATAACCGTTAATAATCATGACTATCATGTATTTTCATCATTCATGATACCATACATTTTCAGCATGAATATCATGCACTTTTATCATATTATTCATGTATTTTCAGCATAAATTTCATCATTAACATAGATCATGACGTTCATCATGATTCATGAATAAAACATGAATAGTTGGTTCCCAGGTTTTCAAAAACATTTACGGTTCTCATTTGAACCTGCCCCTAGTTTAATAAGTGCTAACTGAACTTACATATATTAAATTTGCATGTGAATACTTTAAACAAGTGTTGTAAAAAACGTCCTGTAATCCTTTGTTCACCATCTATTTTCTATGTTCTATCTTGTCGATGACAGGCTCTACCATAGTCTCCAAGTTTTTCAAGTCTTGCTTCAGATCACCAACCTGCCAAGAAAACACATCGTGCTTGGGGGGTAAACTTTGAACAGTAATGGACCATTTAGCAACACAAATTAGGTAACCTCTAACCGGGTAAAACTGCGATATGGGTAAGCGCTGACTGAGTACCAAGTCGGCATCCCGGTCAGCATCATTTGTCGGTCAGTGTTTATAGTAAACAACCTCAACTCTTACCAGGAAAGCGTCTCTTACCCAGTAAGAGGTGGCCATCAATTAGTAAACATCCCCTAAGTTTTGACTTATTGTTAAGTACCTTGTGGATGAAATCTTGGGTCATTTGGGCATCCTTAGCAGCGACACTAGATACGTGTTCTACCTCCAGAGCAATTTCTTTCATTTGACCTTTTTGTAGCTTCTCTGCGACCTCTGCGGATAATTTTTCTGTTGTAGATGCAACCTTTTCTACCACCTCGGCCACTTCCTCGGCCTCTTTAACAACCTCTTCCACCTTACCTACAATTTTCATGACCGTTTATTTGCTTTTGCATCTGTTTATGGAGATAAAGAACTGAAACATTATGTAGGAAGGAAAACTACATTATTGTAGATGTACTTGCCTTCTAGCTTTAGCATATTGTCCCATTTTTGCTTCCAAAATGAGAACAGTAAGGGCAACATAGAGCCCAAAACCCATTTTACCCTGCACCAAATGAAAGTCTTAACCTTAAAGCCAACTCAACGGACAAATAAATGTTAGGCCTTGGGCTCATCCCCATAGGTTGCTAGTTCGAGTCTCCTCAGGCCACTAAAGATTTTCCTGCGCACAAGCTGGCCTGGATACCCACGGTTAAAAAAAATGATCTTTGTTCTTTCTATGTTGGATACATTGTCTTGACCCCGGTCAACTAATAGAATCACATTTGCTGTCAAAACCAAACTTTTCGAGAACAAGGTCATTCTAGATTTATCAGAAGGATGCCTTCAGTTGATGGTTGATGATAAAGGCTTGGTTTGGATTCTCTGATTGACATCAAGCTAATGCATGCATACATCAACACTGTGCACAGTTTTTCTTGCAAAAATATAGTAAAACATGAGTTGTTTTGTTTGTTGGGTGTAGAGCTCAAAGAGTGCGTACCAAGAAAAGATGCTCGGCCTTGGAGGAGGTGGATCGGATGGTTGAACCTTTAAGGTATGTTCCTGTTCTCTACTTTTTCCCGTTTCAAAACAGAAAGAACGAGTTCAATCTTTCAATAGTAGCATTAAACCGAAAAACAAGTAGAAATTAAGCTTGAAGATACATACATTTTAGACTCGGGCCTTTTCATTGAACTGCCACTGTAAATGCTTAGCCCTTGGTGCGTTGAGCTGCCAATGCCATACCTGAACTTGGGTAGCCTATTGCTACCACCGACATGGTGGTGGCCGCTCTCCGAGCTAACTCTATAGCGGCATACGAGCAAGGTGGCAAAGCTACGGATCCCATAAGATGCCGAAGAACTTCTTGGGCTCATGGTGGTCAAGTTGACTTTTCAAATATATAGGAACTATATATGAAAAGGGATTCAAAAAAATGATTTTGGACCAAGAAAATGCAAATTTGGATGAAGGGTAGAGATGAGGATGAGAATCTGTTATAGGTTTTGATGACTTTTAAGCAATTAAAGGAGTATATTGTTTAATAAGTTATATGTTCCTTGCAAGTTTTGAAGAATTAAAGTAATCATATTGGAAGCTTTAAAGTAAAAGGGTGATTTGGTCATTTTGCATGGTTTTTATAAATTTAAAATTCAATGTACATGTTTTTTTTTATTAACCTGGATATCCAACCCGCTATGCGAGTCGACTAATCCCAGGGCGACCACCTGCTTTGCAGATAGCCCGGAGTCATTGCATTTGAACCTCCGTGGTCACAAGGGGATTTTTATTTCTCCTTGGATTTGAACCTGGGACCTCCTGGTACTTTTGACCTTTGAAGTCAAGCTCAAACCAATCAGGTTTTTAGAGCTTATATACAAGTCTTGAAACATATGATGAAAAAGGATTTGATAATTCTTGTTAAACAAGATCCACATTTGAGTCATTGTTATTCTTTGGAGGTGAAAATCCTAAGCAAAAGCGTCTGGATTTGATCTCTTCTACTAACGGTTGTTTACTTTTAATCATTAAGTGACGGGCATTTTTGTCTTTCTAAGTTTTTATCCTATTTTTTTTAATTAAAAAATACAGATCCATCCTATGAAATAATGACAAGTGTCCCCCAACGTATGAAAAAGTCTAAAATGCCCTTCATTTAACCAATTCGTGTAATAATTGTTAAAGAGAGACATTAAATTCGGATGTTTTTATAGATCATGATGGTCCTATTGTATTTTCAAAACTATATGGATAAAAAATGTTATAACTTGCAAATTACGAAGACCAAATTTATAGTTTACTCGCAATTTTATTTAATGACCATTAAACAATGTGACAAATTTATAATGAATGGTAAAATCCTAACCAATTTTAAGTTTAGAGGGTAAATAAGAGATTTGATCAAATAATCTTAATTAGGAAAGCGAGTTAAAGTCGTAACGTTACGTTTGGTATATGGGACGGGACAAAACTCACTATCTCACGTTTTGCATGACATGGAACAGAACAATAACTCAATGTTCCACTGGCGTGAGACAAGAACTGGGAGAAAGTGAGACGAAAAAACTTTTTGTTGTTCCACCAAAATAGATGGAACAAAAGCTAAAATATTAGCAAACTATCATCGTTTGATATATAACTTTAATATGATATTTGTTTTAGTGGTCACCACTATTAGTCGCAACCACTAGCTCCACATTCTCTTCCACTACAACAACCTCTTCCAGCACCTCCACAACCACTACTGTTGGCCACCGACCACAACCATCCACGTCACCACCACTACCACCATCAGCCACATCCTCCATTACAACAACCTCCTAAAGCACCTCTACAACCATTGGCGGTCACTGAACACCACTGTCCATCACCGCCACCACCACCATCGTGGGCCACCTCTATTACATCGGCCACAATTACCTCCTCCACAACTGTTGGCCGCCACAACCACCATTATCTATCATCTTCACGTCCTCCATAATCGTCGTCATCCACCAACCACCACTGCCTCTACCTTCACAACCGGCATCAACCACAAACCACTACCATTCGTTGCTGCCATCACTAGTACCATCGACCACCTCCACCATAACTACCACTACTATCATCGGGGACCACTATCACTGCCCACCACTGCCACAACCATCTCCACCACATCGGCTGCAACCACTTTCTTCACAGCTGTCGATCGCCACCACTACTATCTTCACAAAAAAAAATATAAATAATATACTTTGATTACAATAAAACAAATTATATAAAAAGGGAGCATTTATTTTCTTTACTTTCTTTGAACTTCTTTTACCATTACAATTGTCATATGAAATATTACATGTATTGCAGAAATAGTGTAATTACATGCAATGTTTCTAAGGGGTTGTTACCAAATACTTACTCGGGTAAACGCTTATCAAGTTATATTACCTTATCGGATGAATATGGCAATGACCAAGAATCTTACCCGGTAAGAGCGAGGTAAATACTGAGAGTCTTGCCTGGTAAGTGAGGACAATGACTCTTACCATGATCAGCTCTTACCGGCTAAATTGTTGCATAAAAAGTCGTTTTTGTTGACTAAAATCTTACATAGCAAGTAAATGATGGTATTGAATTGTACCGCTAAGTGCTTACCGAACACGTATTTGGTAAACGGTCCCTAAGTAAAACAACATAGAATGTCACATTTTTACAATATAAAACTATGTGGGTTCGAATTGAAAAATCGTGAATGAAGAAAGTAGGATATTGGAAACCGGGAACGATCATTAATGTGTAAAATTGCTTTTTTTTTTATTTAAAAATTAAATATTAATAAAATATCATTTAATTAAAAAAGATTACATGGTTGAGATTGGTCTTCAAGATTTTAAACGTGTTTAAGATTTTGTATCTGATTCTTCATTCACACAATATACAAATGCATATGCATCATACATGCATATATACATATACATACGTATATGCATCATACGTACACATATACATATACATATGTAGGGTTGGGTTTACGTGAGACCAAAGGTTTTTCGTGAGATCTGTAAGATCAATTTATGTTCATTGATCAACTTTATAAGTTAATGATCTAATGGTCTAAAGTTGCACGGTGACAATTTTGTGATTATGAATGTTCAGATTGTAGATCTAATCCAAATGGTGAAAATTGGTCTTACGAGTCTGACGAAAAACCTTTGGTCTCATATCATCCCAATTCTAGATATTATACAACTTGCACTTCCTTCCCCAAAGGGCTGCATTGTTTCAATCTTAATCCAACTTGCTTCATTAATGCTTGGCTCTTGGTTTTTCTTCTTCAAAAACAATAGAAAGAAAGGTCAAATTTGTCAATTCCTCCATTCATTTAAATGAAAGGCAGTTGTCAACAGTGAACTCATGAGGGTGGGGACATGCTTGGGTTTGACAAATTTTGCACCATCAATAACTCATGCATGAGGAGAAAAAGACAAAAGAGCCCTTGTATTGATATCTATACTATATTATAAATTATTTGACAAAAATTCTTATAAACCATTTTTTATGTATAAAGTACTGTATATTGATGCATATTACTTAAAATTCAAAATTACAAGTAAATTATGCATAAATACAATTTATTAAAGCTCCTTGTTTGAATTCGTATAACTAGCTGCGGATAAACATAATCAAATAGAGGATAAACATCTTATTTTAAAATATAAAAAATCTAAAATATAATTAGGATAATTATCGAATTTTAACAAAATAATCAATTATTATCATTATAAGAAAATTATATTATTAAACCAAATATAAATTACTTCGTTATTGTACCTAAATTAAATTATAAATTAAAAAATTGAATTAAAAAATTACACAAAAAATGAGAAATTTTAAATAGTTAATTTGATACTAATATCAATATATTTTTGTCAAATTTTTATGATATCTTCAAATTTATATTTTATTCAAAAATAAAAAATCATCACTTTTTTAAAATCACGTAAGACCATATTATAACATCGACTGAGATAAAGAATAAAATGAAATATTAAAATCAAGATGTATCTCGCTGCATTGTACGAGTACCATTCTGTATGTATAGTGAAAAGGAAGATTAGAAAATTTATTTGGCATTGTTTAATTGTCGTGACGTAAAACATTGAAATGTTGTTTCAGAGTATTTCACGTCAATAAAGATGTGTTTCACAATGTTTTACTTCAGTGTCGTTAAATGTAAAATACTCAAAGTGTTGTTTCATAGTGTTTTACGTCAACATTTTACATCAACAAAACTATGTTGCTTCCACATTAACGACACAATATTGTTTAATACCGTGAAACAACGCTTCAATGTGTTGTTTTACAGTGTAAAACTACATTGCTTTGTTTTACATAAGTGGCATTGTGTGTTTCACAACGTGAAACAACACTCCATTGATAACCCATATGTTGTTTCATAGTGTGAAACAACACATTATATTTTTACGAGTAACCACTTTTTTTTCATCACCAACTATATTCAAAACCATAACAAATGTTAAATATAATTGCAATTGCGTTCATAAAGTAATCCAGATCTAGATGAAGAAAGAAAATGGTGAGAGGAAGTAAACACTTACCGGTAAAATTCAATACTGTCACTTACTTATCTGATAAAATTTTAGTCTATAAAAAGATATTGTATACAACAATTTACCTGGTATAAGCGCTAACCGTGGTAAGAGTCATCGCACTCACTTACCAGGTAAGACTCTTGGTCTCTGTCTTACTCTTACCATGTAAGATTTTTTGTCCTTATCATATTCATCCTGTAAGATAATGTGATTTGGTAAGCGTTTACACGGATAAACGTTTGGTAAACGGCCCCTAAATGAAAAAAGATGGTTGTGAAGAAAACAACGAGTTTGTCGGTAAGGATCAATGCTAAATGAAGTATGAGATATCTGAGGGATTTCAAAATCTTAAGTGAGATTCAACACAAAGAAAAATTGAATGTTAATTAAAGTCGTTAGGTTAAAACGATTGGATGGTTCAGATGGTCATCAACTTTTTTTATGGTTCTTATTTGATTTTATTTATATAATATACCGACTAGGGTTAGGTTCAGAGGAAGTGCATAAAAAAAACTGAGTAACGTTCTAATAGCCGTTCATCTGGATGGTATGCAAATGTATATACAAGTAATTTGTAAGTAATTTGTCCGAAATGTGTTACATAGCAAAACATATAAAATTACTCAAGAATTTTATATAAAGTCTGGGCACTTTTCACTTCTACATCTCAAAAGATTCTTAACTCATACTTAGAAAGGAGTTGAAAACAGAAATTAAAAGAGTGCAAGAAATCATACCAAAATATTTTCGAATAAACTGGAAATCATAGTGCCTACTCTCGAAGGCAATGGTTACAGTACTGAAAAATAGA